TCTATATTCACATATATGCTGTGGTATATATATATGTATATATATTAGCAAAGTATTTAATGTATGGTAACTCACAAATGTAACTTTTTTTTTTTCAAATGTCAAAGTAATGTTTCTTTGTAATTGAAATTAGTAATTTACAGCTTGTGTTGCTGAAAAAAATTTTTATTTCAATTTATAATTATTATTATTTATATTATTAAGAGAATAAGAGAAATTTTGTTTCCATAACTAACAAATGACCTTGAATCTTGTGAACTATTGACATTTTTAAAGATATAAGCTCATCCCGACATTACACTCATCGAGACCTTTCATTTGAGTACCCACATGCATTTTTCATATATACATATATATTATATATAACATATATTTTAAAGATATAAGCTCGTCCCGATGTTACACTCATCAGGAGCTTTCATTTGAGTACCCACATGCATTTTTGATATATTATATCTTTAAAAACGTCAATATTTAAGAAAGTACAGTGCAATTCAACAAAAAAATCGTTATTTAATAAAACAAAATTTGATTTATTTATAGTTCACTACGGCAGTTACATAGTGACTGCAAAGTTGCTAGTTATTATTATTCTGGCTCTAAAATTTGGCGACTATTTTTATATATTTGTTTACCTAGTAAGTTACGAACATAAACATCAATAACAGTGACAATTTTCATGCATATACACAATATCCTGGCATAAATCTTAAACCGGAAATGTGAGGGCGTAACCCTTGATCTAAACTCAAAATCCCAATCTGAATCCGAATCCGAATCTCCTGCTCCTTAGCCGCATCCTAGAGGATAAAGGACAATGGAGCAGTTGTCAACAGGGAGTTCGCACAGTCGGTGGTAGACACGCGTGAAAATCGGCTCACCTTAACTCAAAATGGCTTTATGCCAATTCCATCGGATATTAGCATGGAAATGGACTCTGATTTGCGATACCCGCTAACTCGAACCGACAGTCCAGTAGTCTGAATCTACGTTGCCCATTTGTACCTCCTGTGAATCAATTAATTGGATATTCAAGCTATTTGTTGTTTTGTTCAAAACAACCGAACAAATGACAATTTGATCCCAGTTTTTTGTAGAGACCTAGGGGACACTTTTCTACGAAAAGTGTCTAAAGAACTAAGTCAATCGGTCGATTAGTTTCGGAGTTATAGTCATTTTAAAATTCACTGCACAACCCAATGCGCAGCAATAAATAATTAAATTGCAATTTATGGGGTAAATATTAAAGATATTGCTAAAATTTGACATTCACCTTACCAAAACAAAAAAGTTATCGAAAAATACTATTGCAATCTTTGATAGTAATCATTTCAATATCACGTACAACCGCTGAATAATTGCTATCAGTATTAACTTTATGCTACGTATTGAGCGTGGTATTACCAATACTGAAGATGAAACTTGGACAAGGATTGTTATTGTCCAGCCTATCCCCACTCTGGAGCGAAAAGTGACGATATGACATGTATTCCGGAGGATTGGGCGCCAGAGGCTGTTCGCGCTTCATAGCCGCCCTCTGTTTCTTCATCTTCATATACCCGAGGATCGACACCAGGACAATGAATACCACGAACCCCATGCAGCTTCCGACAATCAATCCCAACCTCCTGATCAAAATGGTGGCTATGCCAGTTCTTTCCGATGGAGTGTCCCCAATTATAGAGTCTGGAGCATCTAGAGTTGTAACTTCAGTGCACCTGCTCATCGGGGAGTTAACCATCATCTAAGCTAGGTTAGATCCCGTATTTATCAAGTCATCCGTCGAGTTCTGGTTAGTTCCAAGGTCTTCCGGTAGAGGAGTCATCCAATTTCCGAGCCCAAGGACACAGATCAGGTATTGGGTGTTTGGAAGCAGCTTAGACAGTTGAACGGACCTTGCTTTTGGGTCTAGAAGCTTCCCTCGGATCTGTAAAAATTAATATAAATTTTTTAGCCTACAGGTTATGGGCCTAGTACCAGGGTTGGAATTTTTGGTTCATTTTGTGCAAGGACCTAGAGGACAATTTTCTAAGAAGGGTTTTTAAAGAACCAAGTCAATCGGTCGATTAGTTTCCGAGTTATAGTCATTTTAAAATTCACTGCACAACCCAAAGCGCGGCCATAAATAATTAAATTGCGATTTACGGGGTAAATATCAAAAAATTATGATACTTTTTTTGTAGGAAATTTAATTTTTTTATATCTTTAATTTCTTAGCCTAAATTTGAATTTTAAAGGAAAAATACAAATTTTTAACGTGTCTAAGCTACAAAAATTTTTATAATTCATAGTAATAATAGTAATTATAGTTATTATACTAACAAAAG